GAGGCTGAGGCATGACGATCACCTGAGCCCTGGAGTTCCAAGCTGCAGTGAGCTATAAATTGTGCCAGTACACTCCAGCCTGGGCAACACAGTGAGACCCTATCTCTAAAAAATTTTAAAAAAGAAACAAGAGGAAAAAGTTATTTAGCCTTGTAGGTTTGCTATCAGAGCTCTTTTAGACCTGTCCTCATTACTTTGGTGAAGGTTTGCTTGCAAATATTTTAGTTCGGGTGCCACTAATTTAGAGATGCTCTTTTATAGTTGAGATGGAATTCTCGATAGATCTGCTTTCCAGTATGGTGGCCACTAGCCACATGTGGCTATTCAAATATAAATTAAATAAAATTACTTAAAATTAAAAATTTGATTCCTCAGTCACAATAGCCACAATTTAATTGCTCAATAACCACATGTGGCTATGGCTACCATATTGGACAGTACAGATATAAAGCATTTACACCATTACAGAAAGTTCTACTGATAGCACTGCTCTAGAAGATTAAAATTTTTAGGAAGCAATATCAGGACCAAACCATTAGTGAGTACAGTCCATCACTCAGAGCATTTTAAAAATACTTCTTTGGCCGGGCGCGGTGGCTCACGCCTCTAATCCTAGCACTCTGGGAGTCCGAGGAGGGCGGATTGTTTCAGCCCAGGAGTTCGAAACCAGCCTGAGCAAGAGCAAGACCCCGTCTCTACTAAAAATAGAAAGAAATTAATCGGACAACTAAAACTATAAGGAAAAAATTAGCCGGGCATGGTGGCGCATGCCTGTAGTCCCAGCTACCTGGGAGGCTGAGGCTTCAGAAGGATCGCTTGAGCCCAGGAGTTTGAGGTTGCTGTGAGCTAGGCTGACGCCACGGCACTCACTCTAGCCCGGGCAAAAAGAGTGAGACTCTGTCTCAAAAAAAAAAAAAAACAAAAAACCTCTTTGGAAACAGTTTCAGAGCCCCTTTACAAACCACATTAAGAAAACACCTAGTTTTATTTATTCTGAGCTTATTGAGTGCCTCGTCAATAGCACATTCCAACTAGTGTGCTACATGTGGGGATTCAAGGAGTAATTAGACATGGTCCTTTCCCTCTATGCCATTATTCATTAGAGGAATAAATAACTAAGAGGTAACAGGTCTATAAAGGTAAGTATGTACAACATGCTCTGGGAACAGAAATAAAGGAATGGTTCTAATTAGGATGTTAAGAACTACCTTCTTTGCAAAGAATTCATGTGAATGCCATACTAGGGGGTTCGGATATTTATTGTAAAGGCTTTTGAAAGACTGCTGACGTATTTTTAAACAAAAGACTGGCAAGAAATTGAGGTGTTTTGAAGAGGTCGTTCTGGTGGCAATTAGAGCAGGTAAGAAACTGAAGGCAAGACCAGTTAGCAGGCTATGAAAATAATCAGGGTTAGAGATGTTGAGGGCCTTGACTAGGTCAATGGCAATGGAAATCCAGAGAGAGAGAGATTCAAGAGGTCTAATTAAAAATATAAACTTGATAATCATCCACTGTAGTCTTTAGTCTTGGCTCTATGTAACTGTACAATTTTTAAAAATCATCCTCTAAAGATTTATCACATTGTTGAGGATATTCTAAAAAATGAATTGCACAGATTCAAAACAGTGTTTCAGTATGTTCTATTTTTATCAAAACTAAGCAAGACACTCTGTGTGTGTGTGCGCACGTGTGTGTGTGTGTGTGTGTGTGTGTGTGTGTGTGTGTGTGTGTGAATAGATAGAGATACGGGAAATTTTGTAGGTATAGACTAAGGTCTTAGTGAATATCTGAAGTTGAGTAGGATCATTTTGCTAATCTGTATTTTCTATTTTTTTCTGTAATGACAATGTTTTTTTAAATAAAGTTATTTTTTAAATAGTAATTTTAAAAATCCACAATCATTAAACCTAAGGAAGAGTTCTGATGTTTTTAACAATGTCCACCTGGCTAAAGCAAGTATATTTCCCTAAATTTACTACTTTAGGACAACACTCAGTTGAAATAAGAGATTTAAAAAAAAAAAAATGAGTTGCACTAATTCTTAGCTATACCTTTCAACATTAAGATATTAGCTATAAAACATTGTTTAGTGACCTGTCAGAACCTACTTTGCTATTGTTCACTGCATTAGTATTACTGTATGTAATTAAAATAGAAGTTATCTATAATTTAGACCTTCTATTACCTTGTAATTTGGTCTTTCCTTCTCTTCCATGGAAATAATGAGATCTCTAACCCAGACTCCCCGGCCCCAAATTCCTATTGCCCATCGGTATAATTAATGAGCTCATTTTTTTCCATCTGGACTTAGGAAGCTGAAATGTTTCTCCTGCCTCACTCTCCCAGTTTTTCCTAGGCTAATGAGTTTATACTTGGATACTATCACTGCTGCAGTCCTCACCGACGCTTGGTATAGCTGAAAAGCATCTTCTCCAACCTTTATACAGAATGGTCAGCGTTCTCTGTATGTTCTACTCTACAATACTCTCTTCTCCCACCTGGACCCTCAGAAGCACATTGGTGGCAGTTGGAAATGTGTCTCTCAAACCCACAAGTTCCCCCAGAGCTATCTTTCTACAGCTTTCCAGCAGCTCCCATTCCAGTGCTCCAACCCCCATCCTAGAGTGTGTATGAGGGAGGGATGGGGTGGTGAATTGACAGCATTTATTCAATCAGAAGTAAAAGCAAACATCAATGAATTATTTATCACTTTTGATATGGAACTCACAAGTGAATTAATCAGTGGACTTGTTTAGAAATGGGTTATTATCAACTCTGGTACAGTACCAGAAATTAAAATTTCTGACTTGCCTTGTTTTGCCAATATTTAAGCATTTTGTTCTATTGAATGTGACTACGTGTACAGACATACTTTTATTTAGTCTCACACATGAAAAAAGAAAGCATAAGGCATGTAATCCAAGTGGTTTCTCATCCAAGCATTTTTATAGCAAATTACTAAATCTAGTTGAAAACATAGGAAAGAGGATAATTTTCCCCCTAGTATTTGTTCTATCAACCTAGACTTTGCAGCACAGAATATCCTGAATTGTGGTTAAAATAAAGGCTTTATTTTATAAAGTAACATTTGAGCTGTTGCTATACCAATGATCAGCATGTGGACCTGCTAAAAGTAGAAAATAATGTAATGTTCTTCCCAACAGGATGAGTATTTCGGAGATTTAAGAAGGAAAGAAAATCCTGAAAAAGAATTCAAGAAAAATAGAATGGAGGAAGCTTCGACATAATGTCTGTATACCTCATTTCCCTCCAAGGCTAATTAGCACTGAAATACTTTTTGCTGACTATATGGCACTTATTCTATACTTTTTGTTAATTAAGAAGTAAATAGGTAGTGACAGCAACTATACTAAAACCAGAAAGCCTTTCTATAGTTAGAATTTATAATGTAGAAGGCAACCTTGAACATTAATTAATGTATTCATTACACTGCTTTCTTCAGATCTGCTTGTTACAAATCCTGGGTTTGAAAAACATACAACCCCATCTCAGATGCACTTATACTAATAACCAAATTATGTAAAATAATAGGTAACACAAAAATCATCTTTGGGTTTGTTTCAGAGATATTTTTGGTTCTTATATTTGGATCTGGATATGCTTGACCTGAAAATTCACTCAACCTCGAGTAAAATAATGAAGCCACAGCCTAAAAATCTGAAAACCTAAGTGTCTAGAAATTCCCTTTTTAATAGGCGATACAGCACATTCTTACTTCTCTTAGATCTGCAGGTGTCTCCGCAGCTCCAGTAGACTGAGAAAAGGAAAAGGAGGGGGCGTCGAGAAAGGAAAGGAAATTGTCTATGAGTCTTGTGGTGGGGCGGGGGTGTTTTAATATCTTGATTAAAAGCTGTCCTCCTCGGTTTTAAAGTTTTTACCACTATTTTATGATGATCTGATATTAAGGATGATGCAGCGGAGTTTGGGTATGTCCATCTGTAACATAAACGGAAAGAAACAAGGAAGGGTAGGAAGCAGAAAAGGGTTGCGGGGAGAGCAAAATGTAGGCGCGTGGGGACGGGAAGGGAGAGGCGGATTTGGCAGTCAAAAGGGGGACGAGAGGAACAGGAATGGAAAGTGTGGCCTGGCCGCCCTACCCTAAGGGGGAAGGGGGAGGGGGGACACAGCGTCGCACACCTCCCACCCCCAGGCTTTTCCTTTGTAGGCTGAGGCTATTTGGGCGTGCAGAAAGGGATCGGTCGCCAAGAAAGGAAGGGCTGTCCCTCGAGGATGTGCAGGCTCGCGGCAGGCTCTCCCGGGGGCAGGAGGGAGGGCAGTATAAGAGGGGCAAGCAGCGGCCCCAAGGCGAGCGGCTTTGTGGGCGCTGGGGTGAAAATGGCAAAAGGCCACCAGCTCATACCCTTGGGCCCGGGGCGTTCGCACACAGGTCTAGATGCTCCAGGCCAGGACCGTTCTTTGAGGGCAGGCTGTGCGCACGTCCTGTCCTATAGGTACCTCTTGGACTGTGTCTATCCCCGCCTGACCCTTTGCAGGCCTCGGCTGCTACCCACCCCCCATCCCCTCGGTCCATGTCCTCCAGCGCGGCCCCGGCGCGGGGTCCCCTCCTCGTCATCTTAGGCGACATTCAGCAAACAACATGGCGGCCAAGCGTCGACCGCGGCGCCTCCTCTCAGGGCCCTTACGGTTGACGAGAGTGGCTGCGGCCGGCTTCAAACCCGCGGCGGGCGAGTCCCGGGCGGGGCGAGGAAGGCCGGAGAGCGAAACCTGCAGCAGCGGCAGGCAGCGTTGTCTGGTCCGCTGGCCGGCCGCGCGCGCGGGGGCGGAAAGAGGGGCGCGCGGCTTCGGGGGCGCGCGCAGAGCCGCGGGCGTGGGCGCGGGCGCGGACGGGGGTGGAGCGGCGGCGGCGGCGATTGGAAGCGGCCGCCCAGAGCCCTCTCGCGGCCGCTGCGGCAGCAGCAGCAGCCCCAGCAGCAGTCCGGCCGCCGCCGCCGCCTTGCGCTCCCGTCGCCCGGCCCGACATGAGTGAGGCGGGTCGGGTGCCCTCGCCCGCCGCGCCGCTGGCAGAGGCGGCGGCCGCGCCTGAGGAGAGGAAAGGGAAGGAGCCGGAGCGCGAGAAGCTGCCGCCCATCGTGTCTGCGGGCGCCGGCGCTGGCGCGACCGCGGTAGGTGCGGGGCAGGGGCGGCGGGGCGCCCCGACGGCGAGAGTCGAGAGGGAGGGCGGTTGCGCGAGGGGCGCCCGGAGGGCCGCGTCTCCCCTCAGAACCCCCGGGCCGCCCGGAGAGATGAACACAGGTCTCCCCTCCCTGGCCGAAATAAAAGAGTTGTGCCTCGTGGACAGCCCCGAACACTTCGCGAGCTGCACCTTCCACCCTCGGGAAATGTCGGAGATGGTCGGTTCCGCTGGATGTTTGGAGTTATTTTCTGAGGTTTTGGCCCCCACTTTCTTTAAGGGAATGACCTGCATCTGGGAGTCGGCATTATCTGTTGGATGAGCATGGATGTCAGGCAGGCGGGAGTGGGTTTTCCGCGGAGGTGCCTGCCTGCCTGCCTTGGAGGCGCGGAGATTTCGCCCTCTTCTTCGCTTTTCTTTCCCTTCCCCCTTCAGATAGAACAGGCTCTGCCGCGAGTTTCCACTTAATTGTGACCTTTCCGTTGCTGTCAGGGTAGTGGGAGGTAGACGCATCGGTGAAGGTTTTCATTTTTCATATGGTACAGACATGTGACTTAAAAGGGGGGAGGTTTTTTGAACCTTTTATTTAAACTCAAGTTATCTAAGCTTGACAGGGATGATTTCTCTGCTGGATTTTAGTAAGGGTTATTTGGAGAGCGCTCTCAGGCTTCAAACTACATATTGCCAGATGATGTCATGGGACAGCCCCTTCCCCCCCTTTCCCTGTTTTCACTGGTAGTTGCGACTCTGGTTACGTTGGAGCGCAATAAAAAATGATTTTGCGATTTTTAATTTGACATAATATTTAAATACTTTTTGAAAGTTTACTTTGATATATTTAAAGATCATGACTTGTCATGGGGCTGCGCGTGACAAAATAGTAAAAGTTTAGTGAACATTATACATTTTCTTTATTCCTACTTGCAATTCATTTCTTAAAACCTCCCTCTTAAATGACTAAGAACTTACTGAAATAGCTCAATCTTTAAAGTACTGTATTAGCATTAGGAATAATGTTTTGATTCAGTAGGTTTTTTTTAAAAAAAAAGTCTAAGGGCTGTGATACTGGAAATTGTTAAAACAAGCTTTAAGTTAAATCAGTGCAGCAAATTGTGTACAGTAATGACACACATTGAAAATTGACACTCTGTGTTCTGAATTAGAAGCTCCATGAGTGAAACCCAGGAATCTGCATTTTTAACTAAACATCCCCAAATCTACTCCTGGAGCGGCATTTAAAAGTAAGCCTACAATTGGTAAATTGGAGCTGCAGATAGGGATTACCCTGGGAAATGCTTTGAAGGAATTTGTCACTTAACTGCTTGGAGACCAGGTTCCTGCTGCTGGTACCCTAGGTTTTCAGAGCTTATATAGGAACTTCCTAACTCACAGAGTTCCAACAGTTCATTTCTAAGTTGGTTGTTTACAATAAATGTATATGCTTAGAAAGGAAATTCAGTATATATACCATGTATTATGTAATTCCCACAATGGGGTCCTGGCCAGTTCTCCATAATCAAACATATATTAATAACTGCAGTGAAATGTATGTGTGTTCACGATAAAGGGAATAAAATCAGACTACTAATAGCTCATGTCAGTTCAGGTCAGGTGCATGTTTTTGCCACCAAATGAGTTGCAAAAACATTTCAGTTTTAAGAATTTATAGTACTTTGGAACTGTAAATAAATGATTATGGTTTGTACTACTGATCAAAGAGAAGAATAGAGTTTAAGAAATTTTTTAGAATATTGAATTAAACTTTGAAAAGACATAAGTTGGAATAGAGGAGGATAAATAGAGAAAATTGAGATTTTGAAGGCAATATCTGATGCCTTATAAGCTCTTTCGGTGTCGGTACCATTTTTTTAAATGATTTTTTTTTAACAGAATTTATGACAGAATATTTTTCAAAGAGAGATTTCCAGAGCTGGAATTCTTAGCTATAGCAGTGAAAAGCCTAAGTCTAGAAAATATGTATTTGTTGTGTCCAAAGGGCAGGAAAGCCAAGAGAACTGAAATGATAACTGAGTTTCCCAGTCAGCAGGAAAGGCATTGGTGTATGTGAGGAGGGGAATGGTCGGGGAAAGACAGCTTGTGGCCCATTTAATTGTTTTTCAGTCTCCTTGTGGATTAAATGGAGCTTCTGGAGGTTTGCTTATGAACCTAATTGTCATCAGTAACTTTTTCTTTGAGCCATTTCAGTGATTCTTCCTTTTTGCCCCAAGCTAACAGCTCTGTCTAGTTTAGTGATTCTTCAATAGTGGCTTTTTCAAAAAATCATTGTATCACGTTTATGAGAATGTGGAAACAATTTAGAGTGACAGCTCACTAAAATAAATAGACCAGATTATGATGACCCTAATTAAGACTGAAGAGTTTGGGCTATATCCTGAATGTTTAAAGAAAGGTATGCAGGGGTAGGAGAGAGGGTGCTGGAAAGGGCGACCCTAAAGTGCCTGATTGATCCTAAAACTACCTACATGTGAAGAAGTTCACTCTAGCCAGGAGGTGCCTAACACAATGGTCTCAAACCTGACTGACCACAGAATTACCTTCGTAACATGTTAAAGTCTTAATTTGCACATCTCAACCTAAAGCATGGGTTTTCAACCTTTGATGCACAGTAGAATCACCTGAGAAACTTTTAAACCTTTGATGCACAGTAGAATCACCCGAGGAACTTTTAAAGCCATTATTACCAGGCCCAATATCAGGCCTGTTAAATCATAATTTCTGGGGATGGCACACAGGCAACTTTTATCTTAATTCCCCAGGTGTAGCTAAGATTGAAAATTGACACTCTGTGTTCTGAATTAGAAGCTCCATGAGTGAAACCCAAGAATCTGCATTTTTAACTACACATCCCCAAATCTACTCCTGGAGCAGCGTTTGAAATGGACTGGTGAACGGTGTGGATTAAGTGAATGGGGGACAGTAAAAAGCAGGTGTGGTGGGAGAATTGAAAGAAATGGCAGTTGAAGCATTTCTAGTTAGAGATGCTCAAGATAGCACCCTCAGAAGACTGTCAGTGTTTGGGGTCTGGCCTTGCTGGTGTGGAGAGGTGAATCGAGAATAGAGAATTTGAAGTAGTATGTGAGTATGAAGGGCTGATGATGTGAATATTAGATATACTGATGCTGATGGATTGGAGTGGAGAATATTATAAATTAGTTGCTGATGTAACACAGATATTAGAAAAAAGCAGTGAACTGGGAAGGAGAAAATGCTCAAAGGAGGGGCAGAAATAACAATGGCAAGTGAGGATGGATTTGTCTGCTTCAGTGTTTAATCAGGTGAAGAAGAAAAGGGAGCTTCTCCATGGGCTTAGGGTACCAATGAAGTGGGTTCAAGAAAGAGCTAGATTTGACTTAGGTAGGGGAGGTGAAGGGAAATGGAGGAAATCTGTTTAGAATTTTAAAGGAAAGTTAGCCCACACGGAAGATGAGAGGAATAGCTTGACGGGAAGAACATAACATACGTGTAGAGGATTTGATGGGAAGTCCATAAACAAGAGTGAGCAGTTTGTATACATTGTGTCTCTGCTGTGTATAAGTGGGGTTGATGGAGCCCCTATACCAAAACGTAACTAACAATTATTGAACATCTATTATGTTTAGCTTTGCGCTAGTGCTTCAGAAAACACAAAGAGAAGGCTTAAAAAATGGTTTCTGCCTCAGGGTATGCCAGGCTAACCAGTGAAAAGCAAAGCAATATGTAAAGGCCACAGTGAGCTATAGAAACAATTTGCGCTATAGGAGATCAGAGAAAGGAGATCAATGTGTGCAGAACTGTGAAGAATGGCCTTGAAGTAAAGGTAATTATTTAAACTGGCTGGCCATTGAAGGATGATAGGATTTGGATGGGCAAAGAAAGTGGACAAAGTAATCCAGTGGGGGAAATCAACATGAGCAAAGCTTAAAGGGAAAAATTAGGGAGCGAAAGTGAGCCCAGTGGAAGCATGCTGAGAACTTGTGGGAGGGAGGTAAGATTGCATGGGGGCTGGAGCCAGATCACTAGGCAGAGAAGCTTGGACATTTTTCTCTTGTGGTTAGTGGGAAGGCATTGGAATTTAACGACATAATGAAATCAGTGGTAGTGTATAGTTAAACTGGAGGAGGGAGGAAGAAGCAAGTGAAGGAAGGAGCTTTGTAGTTCGTGCCTGAGCTGATGAGTGCATCCACTAGGGTGGTGGCCATGGGCTAATGGGTAAGGAATGGAAGAATCCACATGATGTGGAACCTAACTAGCTAACAGAGATAAAGAGAAGGAAGATTAATAAAGAAAAAGTTTCCAGAGGTCTCTCAGAGAAAAATATTTACATAGAAAGGCAGTTGAGCCAATAGCATTGGCTATTGTGTGTGTGTGTGTGTGTGTGTGAGAGAGAGAGAGAGAGAGAAATCTAAACTATGCCCAGCTAGGTGTTTGGAACAATCTTACATGGAAAATCTTGTGCCCTTTGTTCATTATATTCTAAACAAGAGGTGAGATGGGAAAAAATGAATACTATGATGGGGAAAACATTTTAAATAATTTAATAAACTATAGATATTACAAAAATATATGTATACAGGGTGTAATAACAAATAATAGCTATTTATTGAGTGCTTACTCTGTGCTAGTCATTTACTGTGTATTCTCTCATTTAGTCAGTTAATGCAACCAAAAACAATCACGCAACAACCCTGTGAAGAAGGTACTACTCCCATTTCACAGAAAAGGAATCTGAGAGTCAGGTTATGTTTACCTTGCCAAAGGGTAAAATGAGTAGTAATGGACAGAAGTTGGTTTATAACTGAGATGTTTCTGACTCAAAAACTCATGCTCTTTCCCCTATTCTGAACACTCTCTATGTGTCTATGGTCATAGGTATGGGGCCATATGGTGCAAAGAGGCTGCACCCATGGCAGTATGTCTAGTTTGGAAAAGAGCACATGGTCCAGTAACAAATTTGTTCAGATTCTTGTTACTAGAGATAGAACTATTATGGGA